ATGATATAAGATGACAAGATCAGGGCCCATCTTTGGAGTCTAGCAGCTGCTAACGTTGGGACCGTGGATTTGGGTCCCATAATGGCAAGAAGTGGTTTATGATCAGTCTCAAGTAAAATTTTACTTCCGCACAGATATTGGTGGAATTTCTTGACCCCGTAGATGATGGCTAAAGCTTCTTTATCAATTTTAATAATTCTTTTCACTGGAGGACAAGGTCCTAGATGCAAAAGTTATGGGTCGTTCTCCGTTTTCCATGATAAGAGAAATAACCGCTCCAATGCCATATGATGACGCACCACATGCCAAGACTAATGGTAATTTAACATCATAATGAGATGGCTGAGAGTAGTTGTTGCTTGGCATCATCAAATGCCTTTTGACAATCAGGACCCCATAACCAACTCACCCCTTCTCGCAGAAGGTTGTTTAGTGGCTGAAGCAAGGTAGATAGATTGGGAAGGAATTTCTCATAATATTGAAGCATGCCAAGGAAGGACCTCGGCTCAGAGATGCAAGTAGGAATAGGAGCTCCCATGATACCTTTGACTTTCTCAGGATTAGGATGTACTTCTTCTTTATCAATTAGGTAACCCAAGAACTCCACTTGATTTTGCATAAAGGAGCATTTTTCAGCCTTTAGTTGAACACCGTACTTGGACAAGCGTTGTAACACTGCTTCAAGAACCTTCAAGTGTTCTTCTTGAGTAGGTGCTGTTATCATCAATGTAACAAACAACTCCGGGAACCCCTTGGAGTATTTGATCCATGGTAGACTGGAAGATAGCAGGTGCACTTGCAACTCCCAACGGTAGGCGATGGTAGTGGAATAATCCTTTGTGGGTGTTGATCGTAAGAAATTTCTTCCATTCTGGATACAGGTTAAGCATGTTTCAAATTTAATTTAGTGAATTGTTCCCCGCCTGCTAGCACTTAAAAGATCTTGAGGAGTCGGTAATGGATACTGGTCAACATCTATGTCTTGATTGATGGTGACTTTATAGTCCCCGCAAATACGGATGGACCCATCTGGTTTGGGTACCACCACAATTGGTGCCGCCCACTCACAGTCTTTGAAATTCTGCCTTCTTTCTCCAACCGTTCAGGTTCAGCCTCAACAGCCCCCTTTAAGGCATATGGGACGGGCCGTGGCTTAAAAAAACTTTGGGATTGCATCTGATTTAACCTTGTCTCTTGCTTCGAATTCTTGGATGCTGCCTCGGTCGTTTGAAAACACCGAGTTATACCTGGTAGTTAGCTCCTCTATCGCAGTGGATACCTTGAATAGTTCAACCCAATTGAGGCGAATCACACTGAGCAATTTTCGGCCAAACACCAGGGGTTGGTCAACAATCTCAGCTACAACAAGTGGAAGGGCTGCTTTGTGACCCTTGAACTCTACATTGACGTGCATTTCTCCCAGGGTAGGTAAAACTGCTCCAGAATATGTTTTGAGCTGGGCAGTACAGGGAGACAGACTTAAGCGTTTGTAATGTTTCAAATAAACTGATTTGGGATTAACTGTGATGGCAGCCCCAGTATCCACCTCCCATGTTCACTTCTTCTCCTTCAATTATTATTGGAACAGTTACAGCATGAACTGCAAACATACCCAACGGATCATCCTCAACTTCAGAGGCTTCAACATGGTGAGTTGCATGGGATTCCTGTTCACCTTTAGTGCTTTTACTTTTGCAAACTTTAGACAAATGTCCAACTTTTCCACACGAGTTGCATTTATACTTGTTGAATTTGCAGACATGGGCCAGATGATCTGGTGATCCACAACGATAACAGATCCTTGCTTGATCCTTGTGTGTTTCATATCAGTACGAGTTGATTTGTTAGCAATTTGATGAATAGGAACCGCTGCTGATAATCCGGAGAGTCCGGTGCCCCATAATTCCGCCGATTGCCGTTTCTCCATTTCCATCGATTGGGCAATTTGTACTGCTTGGTTGAAATTAAGGACGTTTTCACCGAGAAGCTTTCGTTGGATATTTTCCTTTCTAAGTCCAGCAACAAAACGATCTCGTAAGGCATGGTCAAAGAAATCACCAAACTCGCAGTGAATGGTTAATTTCTTTAGCTGAGCTGCAAAATCCGCCACACTTTCGTCATCTTTCCGAAACCGATTGTGGAAGTTGTATCGGTCGGCGATTACGGCAGGTTTGGGGTTTAAGTGATTCCTCAGAACAGCAACTAGTTCCACATATTCCATGGTATTAGGTTTTTCCGGCGTTACCACGTTTCTCAACAGCCCATACGTTCTTGCTCCAATTGCGGTAAGCAGAACTGTGACTTGTTGCTCCTTCTTTACTTGGTTCGCCACCATATAATTCTCGAGGCATTCCACATATGAATCGAAGCTTTCTTTTGCTTTATCGAACTCAGTTATATTTCCAATAATACTCATCATCCCGTCCTCGTCGCCAGATGTAATATATTCGAAAGTGCAACATTAAATAAACTACAATTAAACAAAGTAACAGTGATGGTTGGTCGCTCTCAGTTAATGCTCGCTCGAGCTCACCACGAGGTTTTCCTTATATGGTAAAAAGGGCACAGGTAGCCCAACATATAACAGTCGTTACATTTTGAGAGACCTGGAAACATCCCTGTGATCTCCTCACATTTGATTTGTGTCATCAAATCAATGCAGACCTGACCTAGAAATGTATCAGAGTTAAAATTGTTTGTTGTAATGAAGTAAGTCAAGTTGGTTTTCACTGGCAGTGCCACTTTTCCTGTTGTAACTAAAATTCTTGGCAAATTAGTATAACAAAAGGCATTTAAATAAGTTCACAATGTGAAACTGCGTGCATAATGGTTCGTTATTTTTTATACCACTCAGTAAAAAATAATCAATAACCGTTACTATGAGTTATTGTTGTGGGGATGAATGCCAAGTGCTTGAATGTCTGTACAAACAGTTCATGTGCAACATGCCCTAACAGGTTGGTTAATTGCGACATTAATTGTTGAATGCTTGTAAATTATCTCTCCATTAGGATTAGGGTTCATTTTCCACCATTCCCTCTTTTAGGATTTAGGGTCTTTTTCAGCCATTCCGCCATTTCACCTTTGCGGCTAATTAAATTAAAAGACAAATTATAGAGTTTTACCTGAAATCAGCAGAAAAAACATTCTGCCACTGACACAATATATTTGTATATATTTGCAGTTATGTCCTTGATTTTTCATTTTAACTCAATATTGAGTCATATTGCTTAGTGTCTAGACAATCTAAAACTGGGTACTAATGACAAATTTGACAAAATTGTGATATATCATAATGTGAAAGCTCAGTAAAATCTAGTCTAAAAGATTTCATATTTTGATTGTGTGTGTGTGTGCTGTACTGTTGTAAGTAGTGTCAGCAATATGAGAGTAACCACTGTAATTGTTCTGTAATTGCAGCCATAAAAGTAAACTAAAAATTTACCATTGTAACCAAAGACTGTAAGAGGCCTGACTTTAATAACTCCTGGAGTATCTAATGGAACCAACACCATAGTGTGACGCTTATGTCTGGCGAAAGAAGAAAACAGTTAAATTAAGCAAATCGGCTACCTATGAGACATAATGAAATAAAATGCTTATTGACAATAAAAAAACCTCGCACAAATTGACTTTTAAAAAAAGGAAAAAAAAACATTGTATGATCATGAGCCTTAAAAAACAATCTAAAAGGACTAAAGCAGTTTTACATTACAAAACTTTATTGATACTCTCCAAGAGGAGAGTGTCAAAGATAGTAAGGTAATGAAGAACAGTGATACTACAAAAAAATAAAACATGTAAACAAGTCAATAACATAAAAAGAACAATATACAAGCTTAATGCCTATTTAAAAAAGTGTTCAATAACTATTAAAAAAAATCCAATCCACCTTAATTCAAGGTGGAATTTAAAAGAGGACACAGACTGTATGATTTTCAGATTGCAACAGAGATTATCCAAATTTTCCCCAAAGAGACCGATTCACATTGGTGGTCACGTGACTTGAATTGGGTAAACATACCAAAGAGCATGGCGGACGTCACTAGTTTGCTTGTAAAAGGTGAAAGGTTTTTGGCTGTTAACGAGCTCAAATGGGAAAAATCGCTATCAAACTTACCAAAAATGAGCTCTAACAACATAACTAACTTTACAAAGAAAACAGGAAAAAAGGAAATGGGCCCAAAGGGTTACAAATTGTTTGCCGAAAATTACCTTCACGATGTTTACACGGCTTCGTCACAACAATGTCAGTGGGTGAAAGGCAGGTGTTATCGGTCTCAAAGAAAAACTGAAGAACCACATTCAATGAAAATAGGGTTAGACAAATCTGGAAA